GTCGAGCCATGCAGGGTGATCCCAACAACTCAAAGTTTGATTTCTTCTTGTTATTTTGTCCCTAAAACAGCAAAATGGAGTCAAAGCATATGGCCAACACCGTGAGCCAGCAGTGTGCCCAGGTGGCCAAGAAGGCCAACAGCGTCCTGGCCTGTATCAGGAATAGTGTGGCCAGCAGGAGTAGGGAAGTGATCGTGCCCCTGTACTCGGCACTGGTGAGGCCGCACCTTGAATCCTGTGTTCAGTTTTGGGCCCCTCACTACAAGAAGGATGTTGAGGTGCTGGAGCGTGTCCAGAGAAGGGCAACAAAGCTGGTGAGGGATCTGGAGCACAAGTCTTATGAGGAGTGGCTGAGGGAACTGGGGTTGTTTAGTCTGGAGAAGAGGAGGCTGAGAGGAGACCTCATTGCTCTCTACAACTACCTGAAAGGGGGTTGTGGCGACGAGGGTGTTGGTCTCTTCTCCCAAGTAACTAGTGATAGGACGAGAGGAAATGGCCTCAAGTTGCGCCAGGGGAGGTTTAGATTGGATATTAGGAAAAATTTCTTCACTGAGAGGGTGGTCAGGTATTGGAACAGGCTGCCCAGGGAGGTGGTGGAGTCGCCATCTCTGGAAGTGTTCAAGAAACGTGTGGATGTGGCGCTTCAGGACATGGTTTAGGGGACTTGGTGGCGCTGGATTAATGGTTGGACTTGATGATCTTGAAGGTCCTTTCCAACCTAGTGATTCTGTGATTCTGTTGTCCACAAAGCCTCCTACTCTTTGCTGGTGCTTGCTTAGGACAAAGAAGACTTTATTTTTTCGTTGTGGTGAGAATCAAACGAGACTGTGTGAAGTTTCTGTTTCAACTTTAGTCACTGGCACATCTGGACTACTTTGAGAGAGTAGTCAGATGTCCACCAAGGGAAGTTACAACAGTCTGATGCTGCTCCTCAGGAATCGTTGGTTCAAGTTCATATTTCTTCCGTAAAGTGAGTTATTTGCTGTATTAGATTTTGAAGGAAATAACTTAATCTGCCTTTCTTCCGTTTCCTTGCTGTTTGATGTGCTCCATTTTGTCAAGGCAAATGAATTATCTGTCATATTTCTTGTGGCGTAGTGGGCTAGAGCTGCAGTGACTCTTGTGAAGGTATTATGGAAAGGTGCTTATGTCCTAAAAAAAAAACAAAAAAAAAAAAAACAAAAACTTTTTAAAAAAAAAAAAAACCAAAAAACAAAAAAAAACCCCAAAAAAACACACCAAAAAAAAACAAAACCAAAAAACAAACAAACAAAACATTTTTCATGAGCACTTGAATATTTCTACTGGTTTGCTAGGTTTAACTAATAGGCCTTGACAGGCTAAACTCTTACAACTCTCCCTGTCAGGGGAGCTGCAGCATTGTCCTGTAATTCCCCTATTTATCTGGGATATGACACCAAATAGACTTGAACTTTTGCCAGTGGTTACATGTGATTTCAGATGAGTCTGACTAATTCTTTTAGGCAAAACATCTTACGGTCAGCAACATCTCACCGATCACTTCATAGATAGTTTCATAGCTATTTCCATTTGAAGCTAGTAAAGTAGTTCTATTTAATGACAGAAAACTTTCTGCTTTGAACTCCTGAAACTAGTGCCTAGGAATAATATTCTCCTTTGTCTTACAAACAAGTATAGTTTCTAAAAGACAAGACAACAAAGAAACCTGTAGAAAATGGAGAACAAAACAGGGGGGTGGCTGGAAAGGGGGGAGCAATATCACTTGGACTCATTAACTTCTGTTTTCTTTGCCAGTTCTAAAGCGGATGACTTATCAACTGCTATTCTGAAGCAGAAGAATAGGCCCAATCGGTTAATTGTTGATGAAGCCATCAATGAAGACAACAGTGTTGTGTCACTGTCCCAGGTGTGTCATCTATAAAAGCAAAGTGTTTAGTCTGGTAATATGCAAGCTGTTGCTATTAACTTGAAATGTAACTTTGCAACATGAATCAAAATATTTGTGTCAGAAGCTGCAGCAGTTATGAGACAGGTGGGTTGTCTTGTTTTCTAATACTCTTCCATGATAAAATATATTTTGATTCTCAACTTTTAGGATTCAGTTGAGTTTGTGCCCTTAGTCTGGCTTCAGGATTAGTTCTTGACTGGTGTAGTGGGAGCCTCTGTCTTTGTTGGTCTAGTATATTGCTTCCAAGATGTAATTCTCCAAAGTCAAGTAACTCTCCTTCAAATGCTTGAATTCTTGTTTTGTTAAAAGCTTGTTCTAATGCTGTTATTGTTTACAGGCAAAAATGGATGAATTGCAACTGTTCAGAGGAGACACTGTTCTGCTAAAAGGAAAGAAGAGGAGAGAAGCGGTCTGTATTGTTCTGTCAGATGATACCTGCTCAGATGAGAAGATTCGCATGAATAGGGTTGTTCGCAACAACCTGAGAGTGCGCCTGGGTGATGTGATCAGGTGAGGACTGGTTTGCTAACTATTGCATATCCCTGGGTTGCCTAAATAATTTGTGCACTGGCTCTGAATTGATTCAGTCTGTAGCAGAGACAGGGTCTGCAGGAAGTATTCTTACATCTTCCAGAGGAGATCACAGAAATGTTTTCAAGTGTGTCTCTTACATCAGTGATCTCAGTTTACTTTCTGCATGTGTTTCTGGCTGTATGCATATTCAGATTAATACTGAAAAGTTATGCTAAAGGTTCTTGAAGTCTCTTAAGGACCTTCATGAGCCTAGGTCCTAACATTAAATGAAGTAGTTCAATTACCCCAATATTGTCACAATCTTCTTCCCAAATTTACATTGTCAGATGAATTCACAAGTTTTTCCCATCTAATTTTTTAATGTCTACCAAGTTAACTGCGGAAAGCAGTAAGCAACATTGTAATTGATCTCATAGTATGGTTAGGTCAAACACTGAACTGCCCTATGACAAACAGAAATTAAAACTTTCTAGAAATGAGTGACAAAAACATGAAGCAGTCAAATAGCAAGATTAAAAATCCTTGAAGGTTGTTTATATTCAAATTTTTGTTATAAAATAATTTTAAAATTAGGAATGCTTTAACAGTATTGCAGGCATCTTGTGCAATGCTTTCAGAAGGTGGTGAGAAAGCATTGAAGTATACACCTTGGCTTACAGGAGGTAGGTTCCATTCTATGATGGGAGTGGGGGGGAAAAAATCATGTGAGCATTTCTTAAATATAAAAATGCTAATTTGCGGGTTTAAATATGTGAGGGCTGACAGCTCTTCTTCCTGAGCTTCCTCCTAACCTGGAATATTGTGCATGTTCTGGGAAAATTGGAGCCTGGTTTTTGATACTAGACTTCCTGGGGTGATATCTGGAATAATCTTTAAATGCAAGTTTTAAACACAATTGTAGTTGGAACAGAACAGTGCTTTGAGCCAGTCAGTGGATTTAAAATAAAGGTGAATCCTTACTTTAACCTGATGTGAGGTTACTGTTGGAATAATTTCTAGTGTGACAGAGCCTGTGCTCTCCCCTTCTCTGCTGGGACTGTGTCTGTAGTGGTTCCCAGTCTTCCAGATGTGTTACCAATTGTCTTTGCTTTGTTGCAAGGGTCAGAGAATTTTCACACCTCTCACCCTCAAAGTTTTTCTTGCTGATCTTAAGTACTTATTGTGTTACTTTCTGTGGCCTGGTTTCTGCCAAAATCCAGGTTCATGTGCTAGTCGCTTCCTGCTTGTAGTCTGTCAACTGTTTTCCTTCTGGAGCAGTCTCTCTTTTCCTTTACCCTTCTGCTATATCCTCTCTGCAAAGCATGTGGTAAAAGAATCTCTTAAGAGTCTCGCACGAAGTAGCATATGAAAAGTTGTGTCCTCAGCTGCAGTTCAACGTAGGCTTTTCTTAGCTGGCAAAGCCAGAGCTTTCTGCCTCTCTGCCACAGCTTGATACTCTGAGGTGTTGCTACAGTAGGCTGTTGGCCTACACTGTAAAATAATAGCTGAAATGTTTATTTAAAAAGGGGGAAGGGACCTTTGGACTTTAACCTAAATGTCAGTCTCCACAAAGCGGGATTGACAGACACCTGGTTACCTCTGGTCAGTACTGTGAGAGCCTTTGCTCAGAATCAGGGTTATCAGCAACAGGAGCTCTATTCTCTGTAGTAAGTTAGAGAGAGAGGAGGGAACAAAGTTTCCCCCAGCTCCTTTTCTCTTACAGTTGGTTCATCAGTAGCTCCTTGTTGAAACAAAAGTTAGCTCATGACTCCTGCAGGTCTTTAGGCTGCATTAGTAACTTGTGAATGTACCTTGGGGATAGCAAGAGGGGCTATAGAAGAGCAGGGGGTAGGAAGAAAGTATGAAACTCCCCAGCAGTTTTGGATAGGGCTGAGAGGAGTGAAGGAAAGCATGTGTTGTGAAGACTAGCTCTCTGGTGGGCATGATTTTTGCTTTGTCAGCATTCTTATGTGGGTGGGAAGTCTCACCAGGGCTTTGGAAGGTCCTTTCTGACACTTGTACTGGCCTGGGAAGGGACAACTGCCTTTTCCAGACTCTGGTGTAAGTCCAGGATGATATGGCTAACTGGAGTTTTCTTCTGTTGTAGCATCCAGCCTTGCCCAGATGTGAAATATGGCAAACGTATCCATGTGCTGCCAATTGATGACACAGTAGAAGGGATCACAGGAAATCTGTTTGAGGTCTATCTTAAGCCATACTTCCTGGAAGCATACAGACCCATCAGGAAAGGTAATAATACCTGTTATTGGAGTCCTGATGGCAGCGAGTGTGAGCTAGTCCTGAGACTGAATAAAGAGAATTTCTAGAAGCTTGCACACAAAGCATTAGACTGACATCTGTAGAATGAGATTTTGCTGGTGCTTATTTAATTTTTTTCCTAATCTTCAGAAGAAAGGGTGATATCTGTTGCTGGCTAGCAGAGCAGCTTGATAGTTCTCCTGCATTTTTTTTGCTACATGGAATGGGAGAGCATCAGAAAAGGCTCAGGTAGAACTCGGTTTAATGAGATTTTCTCCTGAGTTGCTACCACTTGATAGGATTGGGGAGTTGCCTGCATGTTAATAAATTGGTTGGAAATACTAGCTGGCACCCTGAATAAATTAACTTTTTCAAAGTAATTTAATAACTGGGAGTGTGCATAAAAAATAAATATACTTTGAGTTGTGCTAGTAGCACTTCTGCTGGAACAAATAGGTCCTAATACAGTATAAACACAAGTTGAAGTTATCCAGATTCTGTAGCCCAGTTTAGCCAGGAGTCATAGTGCAGTATTATATATTATTCTGCTTCTGGAGACAACCAGTTATAACTAATAACAACTAGTTATAACAACGTCAAAATGAATTTTTATTAAGTTGGGGTTTTTTTGCCTGTTTTAGAAATGTTAAATTGAAACTAAAAAGAAAAAGAAGGAAAAAAAGGAAAAGAAATGTGATTCTTTGCCTTTGTGTGTTTTATTTAGGCATAGTATTCTTTTCTGTTGTTTGCTATTTGTTTCTGGATGAAATTTGAGAACTTCAACTGCTACAGATCTAAATGGTGCTTGGGTAGTCACAGTACATGCAGCTCTTGAATTTAAAATGCAGAGCAGTGTTAAAAATGCCAGCAGTGTATGCCTATGTAACCCACTTCCTTGTCCTCTGGGGCTGCTGGTAGGTAGTGCAAGTGTTGACGTTTTGCAGACATCTGTTGCAGCAGGCTACTGAAACGTGGTGTTTTACAGGTGACATCTTCTTGGTGCGTGGAGGGATGCGTGCAGTGGAGTTCAAAGTGGTGGAGACAGATCCAAGTCCTTACTGCATAGTGGCTCCGGACACAGTGATCCATTGTGAAGGAGAGCCCATCAAACGAGAGGTGAGCAGAATCCTGCCATGCGGTTCTACTGAACCTCCTCTGTCCGAAATCTGTTTTGGTGACAGTCCTTGAGAGCAGCAGTGTTTGCAGCTCCTGTTTTGGCATTTTGTGTATTGAATGTAATGATTAAAACATCTGGGTTCAGGAGATGAGCTGCTGCTGAAGGTAGTCAGAGAAATGTGCTTCTAGTATCCTTCCTCAGATGCTGAGATAGCACCAATGCTTAGGTTTGCTGATGAGATGCCATACTTTGGCAGCAGCTGGTTTTGCATCTGCTTCCAGATATCTCATGCTGGACTTAGATGCATCTTTTAATTCCAAAGTTCCTTTGATCCATAGCAGGGAGGGCTTACAATGTCACTAAATTTCATGCCATGTGAAAAGAAAGCAATTGGTGCTTTTTCAGTGAGAAACTTGAAATCTCTAAATGACTGACTTTTTACCGTTATTTTTACCCCCAGTCCCTTAAGGTATCTAGCCTTGAGCGTCCCAAGCTTGAGGCAGTCTGAGTGGATTGTCAGGTTTTGGCTACCTTACTGTTACAGAGTAGGAAATCTCAGAGAAACGAGCTACGGTGGCTGTATACTTCATAAAGTGTGTGCCTTTTTACTGCCTGCAAATCGGGGTGAGTGCTGGTTTGTAGTTAGCTACCTTCTGAAAAATCCACCTCTCTGACACTTGTTGAGACTATGTCTGGGTACTGGATGAGTCCAGTTTGGGCTCTTCAGGACACAGCAGAGACAGATAGGAGCAAGTTCAGCCAAGGCCATCAAAATGATGAGGAGCTGGAGGTGAGAATGAATGAGGAGTAACAGAGAGTGGGTTGATGCAGCATGTAGAACAGAAAGCAGAGAGGCAGGCTTACTGGCAATTGCCTGATAGGAAGGGCTGGATAATCAGGCTCTTATGAGAGCTGTGCCCAGGGACAGGACTAGAGGCAATGGCACAAGCTAGATCAAGGGAAATTACCAATAGATATTAGGAAAAAGGTTTCCCCAAACCCTGTAGCAAGGCCCAGAGAGGGCAGGAATCTCCAGACCTGGAGACCTTCAGTGCTTGATAGGGCCAAGATCCTGAGCAACCTGCTTGAAGTAGTAGTTCCTGCTTGTGGGGCTTGGACTGAGCCCCCTCTGAGATTCCAGGCTGCGTTATTTTATTATTTTAGTGTGGCCTAATGTTACAGATAACTTAAGGCCAGTAGAGATTTGGACAGCCAAATGAATGGATGCTGTAGAACTATACTGAAAGAGTTGGTTACAGTTGGTCTTCTGCACATCTGGATCTTAACATTCTATGTTAATTTCAGTCAATCCCAAAAGAAAACACTGTGTCTGAGAACTGTATGGTAGCTAGGGTATGTCAAGTAGTTAGAAATATCACTTACAGTTTAAGGAATAAGTATATTTTATCATGGGCTTCATTGTCTATTGTTATCTTTGTTAGCCACATCAGAGGGTTACACAACTTGTTTTGCACCAGAGTCTGTAAGGGTCCTGGCAGCAGAGGCTGTCATTCAAGAGGGTGGGATTCAGTGATGTCTAGGTACATGCAGGCATTTCCCTTTGCATGTCTGGGAAGAGAGAGCTAAGAAACAATTGTAGAAGACATCAGGAAGACTTGAAAGTGAAAATCTCAAGACAGCAAAGAAATGGCAACGATCAAAAACCTGGATTCCTAGGCTCTGTAGAACGGGAGGGATTGTTAACTATTGTTCTCACTCAAGTGTTTAATGTATTTCCTTCTGGGTAGGATGAAGAAGAGTCACTGAATGAAGTGGGCTATGATGATATTGGTGGCTGCCGAAAGCAGCTGGCTCAAATCAAAGAGATGGTGGAACTTCCCCTCCGACACCCTGCACTCTTTAAGGCCATAGGGGTGAAGGTAAGTCCCCGAGTGCACCAGGTGGATGAGTGGGCTTGTCCTTGCAGACATGACTCTATCAGAGGTTTATGAGGTATTGGGAGGGGAATAAGTAATTTGGTGGTTTTTGGGGTTTTTTTTAATGCTGGTGTTAAAGTATTTCCTTACATGTTTTGGACACAGATTAAAGTACTGGCAACTTGCAAAGCAGAGGGATGCTTTGAATCAGTGCTGTCAGTTACTGGCAAGGTTTTTGTTTGTGTGTCATGCAAAGTAGTAAGGGTGTTAATAGCAGTGCTGGGATGGCAGCTGTTGCATGAGTTTGCATCACAATTTCAGACTGGTTTTATCAAATGCTTACAGCTTCACTGTGAAGCTACTTAGGCATTCAGATACTAGCTCACCACCTAAGTCCCTTGCCTTTGTCCTCAGCCTCCACGTGGGATCCTGCTGTATGGACCTCCTGGCACTGGTAAAACACTGATTGCACGAGCGGTAGCCAATGAAACAGGGGCTTTCTTCTTCCTGATCAATGGTAAGTTTTGTGGCTGCTTTGGCCCCAGATCTGTTGTGTGTTCATTCATCCATCTCATGATAATGTACAGTATTGTACCTTATAGAGCCACGTTGTCTCCCTGACATCCTTCCTTACCTCTTTGAAGTGTGCCTCTGGGGACACTTGGAGGTCATTTGTGTGGAAGCGTCTATAGTGGCACTTCCCTCAAGCTTGATTGTTTTGTAGCAACCTGGTTGGAAAGATAGCCTTGTGATTCAGGGATTTGGAGTCTGTCTGGCTGAGTGTTCAGTTATGTTGATGAGGACAGAGCTGGGAGTGAAGTGGTGAGATTATTCTATGTATATGGGTGCAGGACACTTGTTTCTGTTGCTGCCAGCATGTTCCATTCAGAAAAGAAGCTGCTTTGCTGCTTTTTCCCTGAAGTAAAGCACAAGACCTGTTCTGTTTCACATAACATTAATTGGGAGGAACTGTCCTGAAAGCTATAATTAGTACCTTGGGACTTAGCTACAAGTGAAAGAACCTCCTATTGATCATTCTTCACCTGTAGCAGTTGAGATGGATACTGGTTTATGTCCAGTAAGGACCAGACTCTGAATTTTCCTTGCTGTTTTTCTGTCCCATTTTACAGTCAGTGCTGGAATAACTGAACATTTGTACTTAAGGAGTGCTGCTTTTCTTCTGATTTCAATCACTTAGACCCATGAAGGTGAAAACAAAGGAGTGTATAGCACAGCATAGCAGTGAGCAGTAGTAGGGAAGTGACTTGCTTTGTATCTCAAGATATCAGTCACCAAGGGGAGCTGCTCTGGAGCTGGCCCAACCCACAACGGAATAGCAGATCTTGGTGCGCAGGGGGTTTCCTGAGGCAGGGAAATGCCAG